CGTCGTTAAAGAACTACCCAATTTCTGGTACATGCTCTTGAATCTGTGGGTTTCTTATATTAAATAAGATCATGTTTATGGGATATGAAGTACCTGAGTATGGTGGATGTTTATGTAAATATAATTCATTATAGACAATAGGAACTTGTGGGATATTGAAAGCTGTAGCTTTCTCGCTCCATAATCTGCTTAAAACAATTGGATGCTCTAAACACATGGCATTATCCTGGACTTACTGTACAACATGCAATACTCGAAATTACGTGTAATAAGGTGACTTCTCCATTCGTAGGACCTTAATAATAGCAGTTAATGACAAATTTGAAACAACTGCATGAAATTAAACGTCATGTAAGTTTATATGGCCGTTCACAGAGGTCGCGGGAACAGACCACAAGGCGTAATTCTTAATTGTTGATGCTGATGATGATAATTTGATGTGTTAAATAACTGAACAGTTTGAGGCATAGGTTTATGTGTACAAAACAAATAAGAACATGTCTTTTTAAAACTATTTTATTTAACAAACCACTTCAGGCGTTCCGATACAACAGTAGTTTAAACTCAGAAATATTTACATGCGGAATCTGTTTTAACACAAATTTACATGAATGCCTTAGGTACATTTGTTTTTGTTTTTTCATGTGTTTATAAAACGTTGCTGATTTTTGTTTTGCTACTTTCGTTCATTAACGGACTTATTTTAATTTTATTATCGACTTTATTCCATCTGTTGAGCTTTGAATGAAATGACAAAATAATCATATTTGTTGCGACAGATTTGGAAGAAAGCGGCTTAATTAAAAGTAGTGACAACGCATTCGGTTTATTTAATTACGTTTTATAACTTCATAGGTATAGGATACACAATAGTAAGACAATTCTGGATTATGAATTTGAAAGAATATGGAAGAGTTCGTTGTATATTTTCGATATTTTTTCAATCTCGAACAAATCAACCGATTTCCGAGTAAAATTTCAAAATCGACAATTATCGAATATAAAAACAAGAGTTATGTTAAAGATTTTAATACGTTTATTTAATAATACGATTTCTTCGTTATTACAGACTATTCTTGAATTAATTTAGCTCTGTCTGGTACCTGTTTTTCGCATTACTGAAGACAATCATGGGAAGGAGTTTGAGGCAACCTACGACAGATTCTCCTCTTACCCTCGTCATTTTGTTAATTTATCATGTTTCAACATCAATCACTATTTTCATTAGTGTCACAGAAAATTACTGGAAATTTTAGCTGAGACAGAGTGAATAATTTCACGATATGACATACTCGAGACACAAGCGATATTTAGGCAGAAATACTGCACACTACAATTACTTCAGTATTCCTCTCCTTCATAATTATTGTCTGTACCTACGATAGAACAGTAAAGTAGACTCATAACTCCAGTTTAAAGCCAGGTTAAAATAAGTTGAAAATATAATTTTGAACAAATCTCATCAAAATAACATCTAAAGATTTTACTTCCGTAACTTTTAAGGAGAAACCGAGGAAAATGGGAAAAGTATTAAATCATATTGGCTGGTTCTTGGTCGGGATTCAAAGCCGGTACATTCCAAATGCGATTCAAATGTATTTCTACTGTTCTGGCCCTCAACGGTGTGTCTGGTAAAATAAAATTGTCCGTGATTTTTAGTAGAATAAGGGTAAAAAGTTTGATACGCCACTGAATTTCCTTCAAAACCCATTAAATAGAATGTAACGTTCCGAAATAATAAAAACTTCCTACACAAAATATGTCGAGCTTACAAAAAAAAACTGCTGGCTCAGGTGTGAGGAGGACAGCGTGTTGAAATGGAATCATCGTTCAACAAATCTGTGTTGGCTAAAAACTAGTGAAATTTCTCTTTTACAGCTTTTGGACGGGGGGAAAGTTGCTGAGATGGAACCTCAACGGAGTCGGTCCGGAAATCCGGACGTTTCCGGACTCTAAGGGCTCAAAAATCTCCCAGAACCACCCACCGCTAACACCTACTGACTCCCGCGAGCGTACGATAGATTCTACTTGCAACAGTGGCACATGTCTGCAACATTTCAAAACTTTGATGCAAAAAGAGGATATGTTACATGTTGCATTTGCTTTGAAGGGACAAACATTGATTTAAAACATTTACTCTTCTCAATCTTGTCTCTTACGTAATAACATCGTGTTATACTTCCTACCGTTTTAATAATTGTAACAGCCAATAACATGATTTGTCTATACTGTTTTGTACCAAAGTCTTCAGTTATAAAGAATGATCAAGACATCACAAAACTTATTCCTGACTCATATTATATTTGTCAAAAAAACAAATTACATTTAAATCAGGAAACTGAAATTATGATATGTTAAGTGATGAAAATGTCCAAATAATAAAATATTTTGAGGGATATCGTCAAAGCGAAGGTTGGCCTAAATGTTTTCTGTCCTGCACGCTAACCAGACGAGATATCGTCGTCTTTTGACACAAGATAATCGCTAATTTTTTTCCCAAACTCATTCTTACAAGTCAAGTAATACCGAGATGTAAGGAAGTGTTCGACAATGAACACTCGTTGCATTTGTAAAACATACATTCTTGCATCTGGACTGTGTGAAGACAAGTGAAGAACTAACGCAAGCAGGTTATAACATGACATGACCTTTGTGGGTCCTACTACAGCGATATGTGTATTTGTTAATCTAATCGATTTGTATCGATTCAGTTTTTGAATCGTACAAACAGAAAATGTGAAGTTCTCGCAGGGTAAAAATGTGGATTGTCTCCTGTGCTTTGTCGCCATGCGGTCTTAGAGATGGTTACTAACTGTTCACCGGAACGAATCGCCTCAATGTTTTCCTACCCTGAAGATAGAAGTAACATGTTTCTTCGAAACTTTAATAATAACATATAAAAAGTACACAGTGTCATAATCCATAAAATAAAGACTCTTCTCAATATTTATTTTCCCTGTTTTAACCATTTAAATTTCAATAATAAGTATCATATTTCCTCTATTTTAAGACGCAATCGACTGTAAGATACGCCGTTGTTGTAGTAATAGATTGTCAGGAGAAAAATACGCTATATCGATTTTAAGACGCAATCGATTGTAAGTTGCACCATTGATATAACAACAGATTTTTAGGAGAAAAAGAGGCTAGATCGATTTTAAGACGAAATCGGACTTCAAAACTTTCAAAAATTGAAAAAGTGTCTTATAATGGAGCAAATACTTTATATGTACCAGCTACTTTAACAATGAATAACTCTTTATTTTGTGTTCATGAGTCCAGTATGATTGTCGCTGTAAACAGGAATTATTTATTTAAACAGTATAAACGAGTTAATCTTTGTAATGGTGAAAAGTTGTGTTTTCTAAGCGGTACGGAATGAATTCTTAAATATTATTTAGACGAGCTTTTGCTTCAAAAGATTAATTCCCCCGCCCCGTTACTTAAAGTCTTGTAACAGATCTGAAGAATACGTAATTAAACAAACACCGTCAGTCCGCTTATTTGGCCGCTTTGTGAAAAATGTATAGGGGAGGAAAATTAATTTTAAGGGGAGGGATGAGGCTTCGGGGAGATTCCTTAGAATATAACTCTTTGTGTCAAAAAACATAAAATCAGAAGCCTTGACTGGAAATCCGAAAAAGTGAAATTAAGACGAAAAGAGCATATATTTTCTTTGAACTACACATACGTACGTAGTAACAAGCGCTCTCGGCAATACCAAGATTCAAAGCAACAGATGTTTCTGAGACACTGAAACGTCACAATTTAAAAACCAACTGATGCAAATAGGAAAAGGGAAAAGACTATAATTTTTTTCTAAATTAAACTTTAAAAAAACGCGTATGGTATATGTATTTTAAAAATACAAGTTTTTAAAGTTACCAAAGTTTACCTTGAATTTAAACTTTGACTATTGCGAACGGCGCCAGCTATATCTGAATTGACTTACGGCAGTGACATTTAACATTACGTCAAACTACTACAAGGTACAGTTAAGAATATAGTGTCCACTTTAATTTTGAACCATGTAAATGCAGAATTAAGTGCCGCAAAACTACATTGATATAAGTTAACTAGAGTTAATGATTAAAGGTGAATAGATGGTTAAGGCACGAACCACGTATGATAAGGATGAGAAATTTACATAAAATTTATTATAAAATCTTAATGGGAAGAGATCACTTGTAAAAACCTGGATCAGATGAGAGGATAATATTAAAACGGTAATTTAAAAAATAGGGTGTTTGTTGATTCATCTCATTAAGAACACAAACTAAGACAAAGTCTCATGATTACGACAATGAATCTTTGAGTTCTTCAAATCGTGATGTATTTTTAAACTAACTAAGCGAACATTTGTTCTCTAAGAACTAAAATGTATTTTCAATTTTATGAGTTCTACAGCTATAATGTGAGATCAGTCAGTGGAAAAATTGGACACCCTAAGTCTGCCTACGTCATTTTAATACAGCTATTTTTTCGTATTCGTCACAAGCTCACTTCG